GGTAGCGAGGGAGAGTGACAGGGGTGGTAGCCATGGTAGCGAGGGGGAGTGACAGGGTGGTAGCCATGGTAGCGAGGGGGAGTGACAGGGGTGGTAGCCATGGTAGCGAGGGGGAGTGACAGGGGTGGTAGCCATGGTAGCGAGGGGGAGTGACAGGGGTGGTAGCCATGGTAGCGAGGGGGAGTGACAGGGGTGGTAGCCATGGTAGCGAGGGAGAGTGACAGGGGTGGTAGCCATGGTAGCGAGGGGGAGTGACAGGGGTGGTAGCCATGGTAGCGAGGGGGAGTGACAGTCGCCCAGCCAATCATTGCATCCGTTCCGAATGGAAAGAGTAGCTGTGTTTATTGCAGCCCTGAGAGGACTACAGACAATCGATTTTTATACTCTCCTTTTCAGAGTAGGCCTACTTACATTTTAGATATGTATTGGTATATAAAGACTGTTAAAAAAATTTGGGAAAAAGTGTTTTAGAAACAGACTACCCTGCCTTTAATCTAAGCCCTGTCTGTGAAACCAGGCCGGAGGGTATGTTTACTACTTGTTTAAAAGCAGTAGGTAACACTTGCATTTTGGGTCAGTTTTTCTGTGTTTCCTGCAGATGCAGAAGATCACGACTACAGCAACAATCATCAGAGATCCAGCAGAGATCAACACTATCAGAAACACTGAGACTGGAGGAACTGAAGGAGAGGAAAAGAGAGACAGTCATTAATGTGAGTGAATACATCAGTCTGATCTACGACAGAAGACAGAGATCAGGTCAGTAAACACACACATATATCATCAGTGCTGCTGTACCTGCACATGTGTGACAGAGTGTGTTGATGTCCAGATGTGTGGTCTGGTTGCTGATGGGATTGTTCAGCACACAGCTGTAGGTGTTTTTATCCTGATATTCCACCTCCAGAGGTAGAGAGAGACTGATGCTGAGATCACACACACTGATGCTGGACAATACACTCATTCCTGCGTACCAGGAGAGAGTCACATCACTCACATTCACCACTGATGAACACACCAATGAACAATTTGATGATGAGGATGATGATGAAGAACATTGTGAAGAGTTACTGATGATGACAGGAACAGGCAGATGAGCTGAAAAGTAAATAGAAATGAGGATAAATTTAATCAAGACACAGAATTCAGTATGTTCAGTGAATGTTTAAGGTGATGAAAGTGAGTGTGTCTGTGATCTCAAACAATAAAACGATTACAGGATGCCCAAACCTGTTCCTGGAGGGCCACTGTCCTGCAGAGTTCGACGCCAACCCTATGAAACACTCCTGAACAGCTCAAGGCCTTTAGACCAAGCAAGGGTTTTGGAGCTTCGCTTTGCAGGACAGTGAACAGGATTGGACACCCATGGATTAAACCTTTCAATATGTTAATAATAAAATAAGAATATCCACCTTTTTTCAATGCCCCATGAAGCTTTGAATGAATTGTTGTAGTAACTTCCATTAAACTGTAAACAAATCAGCAAAAGGTTCGATCTAATTCAAAAACGGAATACAATGAGATGTTATGGTACTCACCCTTCAATTGAACATTAAAAGCTAATTTAAAAGTGCAAAAGCATTACAACAGACCATTACATATCACTGTAGTGATATAAGTCTGTATTATGGAGCATACGTTGCCCTAATCAAAATGTTTATTAACTGGAACTTTGGTTGATAATATTTCAAAGTGATTTCCGTCAATATGTTGACACAAATACAACAAATAATGTATTAACCTGCTTTGGAATCATTCCAGTAAACACTGTTAATATGGATTAGAAGTGAAAAGGGGAGACAATTACATTTTAAAGCATTCTTGTGAAAACCGACCTGGAAAAGTGAGGATTTGGGGAGAAAAACCAAGGATTCATAGTGCATTCCAGTGAATTATTCATAGCTTATATCGTAAATTAAAACGGGAGAACAGACCACAAATGCGTAGTACTGTATATATTGCCTTTTTATATTGTTACAGTGGAATACAAAGGAATAAGGAAAACATTTACAAACTGACGGATAAGGATTATTGGTAGCGCAACCTTATGATTTGAAATGATTTGTTTTAGTCTTTTGAGTGGAATTTCCCAAAACATGAAGTATCTCCAATAATTCAAAACACAGTAGATCTCTACTCACCATAGACAGAAACACTGAATGTTTTTGATGTCAGTTTCGCTCCACTTATCTCTAGTTTATAATCTCCAGTATGTTCAGTTGTGGTGTGTGTGATGGTCAGAGATCCAGTTTGATCGTCCAGCTTCAGTCTGTCTCTGAATCTCCCATCAGGAACATCATATGTGGAGAAGTTTTGTTTCTCTCTGTTGATTTTAGCTATTGGAGAGTTTTCAGCTCCATATCTCCACACTATGTCTTCAACTTCACGTATTTCAGTAACATCAGAGTTTAAAGTAACAGAATCTCCCTCCATCACTGACACTGAATCACCAAACACACCTGGAGAACATGACAAGGTTTTGTCACAGATTAAGGCTTCCGATGGTTTGCAAAGCCTGTAATACATTTGAGTTTGTAATGTTTAAATGTGAATCACGTGCAGAGAGTAAATAAAAAGTGCGAAGTTATGTGTCAAGTTAATTCTGGATGTTTTTAACAGCTTGAGCTTGAGCTACGAAAAATGCTCACTGCATCTGAATCCTTTAAAATGCACTCAGGATTCCTCAGTGTTTTTGCCAAATTAATTTGAAACATATTTTTTAAATTGTTGCTGGGTTAATCATAGATGGAGGATTTCCATTTGTATGTCAACGTTTGAAACTAAGAATAAAAAAAATTGCCTGCGATTTAAGCAGATCAATGTTAGATTCACTTTCTGAGCCTCCATTAGTTTAGTTTATATTAACCACAGAAATTTCCATTGGTTTCCATGACCCCCTCAACAAATATTACATTTCTATGTAATATTTCACGATTTTAAAACTCCCTGATAATTTCAGGACCCTGTACACTCAAAAAAAAAAAAAAAAAAAAAAAAAAACCATAAACAGAGACCTGAATCTAATAATACGCAATATAAATGTGTATAACTTACCACCACACAAACAGAACAAGACAAGCATGTGAAACATTTTCTTCAATAGCTCAGTGAAAGGTCTGACCTAATAATGCTCTCCAAAAAATCATTTAAACTGATTTGAATGATACTGGTGTTTGAATCCTCCCACAACCCTTGACGACCCTTCTAGTTCACACACACACACACACACACACACACACACACACACACACACACACACACACACACACACACACACACACACACACACACACACACACACACACACACACACACACACACACACACACACACACACATAGTCTCTCTGATGGCATGTTGTGTTTAGATATATGTATAGCCTACATATAAATATATATATGCTCTTATGTCTCTTATTAAGACTTTAAATGTTCTTAATATCTATTACATTCATTTTTATCATTTAACATGGCCAGTTTTTAAAGGTTAGTTCTGACTGTGCTAAGCAGGGGAAAGTGAAATAGGCCTACTGTGTAAATCTTCCAAAATGTCAGGTTAAAATAAAATAAATTAGTTTTAAAATAGTTGTATACTCTGTTTAGTATGAAAAAAAGCATCTCACATGAAATTTTTACTGAAGTGATAGTACAGTAGTTCATCATCTGAGTCAAACTGAAACTGTGGCCTGTTTTCTCCAGAAGAGATGTGGTTTGACCTGTTGGAACGTCATTATGAGAGGGTGTAGGTGTATGTGTGTTTAGTTTGTGAAGGGCTTTTTCCTGTCCTGTTTTTATGAACCTGATCCCATACACAGAAGTTTGTTTGACAGTCAGAGGTAATATTACTGTCTAACTAATGTAGTTTAGCTTAAAAATAATGCAGCAGTCCGTCTTAACACTGTGCCAGTGAATGCTTAATGTTTCAATTAATCCAAGTAGCCTAACTAATAGACAATACTATCTGGATTAATTTAAACATTATTAAGCATTCTTGGAGTTTTTCTCCATATATTTTCCGGAAACCAAAAACAGATTTTTACTGCCGAATTTACAGTCTAACATAAATATGTTCTTACCCTCGTTACTCCTTCCGCAAGGGATTTAAATTATTCAAAAAATTAGCTAGCCTATACTTTTGCATAAAACACGCCCAGTCATTTGCATATCGGGGCTTTCCGTGAATCTCTCCTATACTTTGACGCTCTAAAGACGAACATCAACATCCTCATCCTGTGACCCCGAAACCTATCAAAGTTAGACATCTTAAAGGATATCTCAAATCTCTAACAGGATCACCTGTGAGGAAGCTGAGGACTCATGAGTGAGGAAGCAGGTGTTTCCATTGCGGAAGCCTGTCATGTTGAAAAGACACGTAGCCTAAATTCTCATCCCCCTTCACATCTGTCACAATAATAGTAATTTATGTTTTACCTCTGCATTAAAAATAACCAAACTTTAACAACATAAGGGCAGATCCTTTGAGCGCAGTGATGACGCAGTGAAGTGACGCTCGGCTCGAGTGATCAAGTATTTAAAGTAAGATGTCCTATCTATTCCTCCGTCTTCATTTTCTTTCCTTGCATCCTTCCCTCGCATCATACGGGAGTGGAGCTGACACGTGAGGAAAGGAAGCGAGGCTGCACAAATAAGAAATGAGACAAAGAAAAGCGCTTTGAAAAAGACCCAGACAACACAGCTCCCATGTCCCATTAGCTGTACGCATATCTGCATCATTATACACATGATCCTCGTATAGCTCGAGAAAGTATAATAGTCTAATAATCTTTTATCCGAAAAATTATTCAAACTGATTTGAAACGAGCACTTTTAATCTGTTAACCGTGTGAATCCTACCACAACAGAGATGATAAAGATGATATGCGCATGTTGCGTGCGTGTGTTTTTAACCTGTTACATATTTTAGATTACAATATGTCAAATGATTAAATTTTTTACTATGCCTCAATTCGATTTTAAGGACTGCCCATACAGTAGGCTACAACCTAACTTAGCCGGGCTCTATCGTGATTTTCGTTTCATTTTCACGACGCCAGGAGAACAACTTGTATATCATCGAATCTTTTCATGAGTAGGCTAAACCTGGGGAAAATGAATTTTATTTTTATTTTGATATCAGCGAGTATTTCCCTCGACAGTGGTAAGACATTTATTTGTTATAGGCCTTGATCTATTTTCTCTACAAAAAAAAAAAAAAAATATATATATATATATATTATCAATTTAATTTATTTTAATTAATTTGAGTTTCATTACTAATTTAACTCGACATAAATGTATTTTTTGTTAATATTTTGTATTTATAAGAATATTATATATATATATATATATATTCATCAAATATACCTTGAATGTGTAGCCTAATTAATTCACTGTGGATAAAAGCATCTGTGAATGCATAAAAATGTAAACATGTTATTTACATGGGACATTTAAACTGTAAACTGAAAATAATTTAAATTCGTAATATGCATCAGAGGTCTATGAAAATATGCTATGATCACTACTTGATTGTATGAATGATGGGTTTTAGTGAGAATGGGGTGTTTAAATCAGGATGTGGGTTATATGTTCAAGATCATTCATGAGACTCATATATGTTTGTCTGATGAATGAATGTTTTAATCAATAATGTTATTCTGCTGTATATTTGCATGTTACATCATGATGAATCCAGACATATTTCTTTGCACACAATCTTTGTGATCTGTATAGAATAAAACATCTTCACAGCACTATTGTTTAGTCTTGTTTGGACATTTTTAAAACTGGTCAATTCTTCTCCAGGTGTTTTCGGTGTTGGATCAGATGAAGTGTCAGTGTCAGTGATGATGGGAGATTCAGTCACTTTATACACTGGTGTTAAAACAAACCAACAAGAGAAGATTAAATGGTATTTTAATGATGTTCGCATCGCTCAAATCAATGGAGATCTCAGTTGTATCTGTACAGATGTTCAGTGTAATAAAGGCACTGAGAGATTCAGAGACAGACTGAAGCTGGATCATCAGACTGGATCTCTGACCATCATGAACACCAGAAACACAGACTTTGGAGTTTATAAACTAAAGATTATCAACAACAATAACAATGATTGGACCTTTAATGTTTCTGTCCATGGTGAGTTGTTTACTGAATGTTTAAAACAGGTTATGTTCAGATCATTGTGTTTTTTTAGCTGAAATTCTTTTTTCTTTACAATTACCTTCATCATTAATCAGTTCAGTTTGAATTAGAAATGAATTAAATTAATGATTTTCTTTCTTATCATCTTATCGTTTAAATGCATCTATTATTTCATACCCATTGTTCCCTTTTGAGGGAACTCGGCTTTGTCATTTGCAGAGAAAATGGGGATGCGTCCTCACAGAACCGGTGTCGGAAGCATGTGTAACTTCACACCAATATCATTGGCCGTCGCAGTGTGATGAAGAGTCCCATAGAGCGCCCGAACGTATAAAAAGGGCGCCTGCAAACATGTCATCAGCTCAGGAAGCTTTCCTCAAGTCTTCAGGAAGCTGCTTGTGTGCTATGTAAAAAACTGTGTGATTGTGTGGAAAAGTATTGTGTTTGACAGGAGTTAGTTCAACACAGGCAGAAAAACGGCGACCAAACCATTTAAAAGATGTGTCCCTCGTTGCCAGCTTTGGACGATGGAGATGGGTCGTGAGCTTGCGTGCTGGATGTGCTCACTGTTATACATACCCTCTGAGAAAGCTCCACTCCCGCTTGGCTCTCTTCTCAAGTGATGCAAGTCAAGCTTCTTATACTTGCGGTTCTGGCCCTGCGTAAGCTGGCAGCTGCAATCATGGCGATCGCAGATGGAGCTAGCCGAGGAGCTTGAAGGGGTTTCCCTTGCTACTCCGGCTAGCTCCGCAGCTCTTTTACTGGCCCAGGTCGGATGAGAGGAACCAGATGTGGAGTCAGTAACAGACATTGCATCTAAGTCTGATGCACTTCCCTCCTATCAAAGCCCCACATTCGATGAGCTATGGGAGCTTATGACTCGTTCCACGTGGCGACTAAGTTTGAATTGGTCCGGCCCGAAGCATGAGATTGTCTGTGGCCACTTATCTGCCATGTGTGGCGGGAGGAGCAATGACATACACAGTGGGTGTGGTGTCAGGCCTCGGTGAGGCGTTTATTAGCATAAAATATAAAATGTCCAAAAAAAAAGTGTCCAAAATAAATAGGGGATCTGATGTCCTTGTTGTGCTGGGGGCTGGGGCACATGCAGGGAAGGTAGTGCTCAGATGGGTTGGTCCAGGTAAAGTTGGTGGGGTCCTGGTGGCTCCAGCGGCTCATCTTCCCAAGGGAAATGTGGGAAAGAAAGGCCATTCTTTGGCACGTGCATCCCTGCATGCACATACTGTCATGACGAAATGCGAGGAAGCAAACTTCGAGTGAATAATCTCTTTATTAATAGAACAATGAGTGAAGAAATAGTCAGCAACACGGTGGCTATGAGTGGCGCAGGGACCTCGACCGAAAACACAGATGAATGGTGGTGAATGGTTGAAGTAATCCAGACACAGAATGAGGAAACTGCAACACCGACTCACGAACACCAGACAGCAGCACGGAACAGGAACCCCAACAGGAACAGGACACAAGAGACAGCACGCGGAGACATTAAACAACGATCTGACAATGGAGAGGAGAAACCAGTGAGTATTTGAAGGTATGTTGATGAACAGGTGATGAGCCGTAGCTGGCGTCGCTAACGAGAATCAAGTGTTGCTGATCAGAGGAACAAGAACCGGTCACGCCGACACACACATAACAACAATGACACGAGACGAGAAGGAAACAATGAATTCATGAACCGTGACACATATGGGTCCGGCAACTCATGACTTGGAGAGCTGGAATCCCTCTCCGCTCGCCTCCTGGACCTGCAAGGACACCAGCATACATGCACAGGGAAAAGAAACAGGTCTCCAAAGGAAAGGCGCACTTGGCATTTAACAGTGGTGGTGACATGGCTCCATTCGATTTAGATGTGCCTCATTGCGCGCCGCCAGTCCTGGTAGTTACAACGCCCCCTCCTCTCTCTTACACCACCTCCACCTGACGAAGAGCGGCAATTTAAGTGTCAGGGTGGTGATGATAATAAGGGGGAGGCAGCCAATCCGAAACACAGGTCATAAGTCCCCAGCTCCGGTGAGCCGTTCCTTTCTTCCGGACCTGCACACTGATAGCATAGTTCCTTTAAATTCATGTCACGCGATTATTGTCTGCGCAGGGTTATGGACAAATGCCTCGGGTTGAAGAGAATAAAGCAAGCAATCTGTCCCTGGGGACATTTTTGTCACTGAAGGCTCCCCTTCTGCCATCCAAGCCATGTCAGATAACATCTATAGGCTGATTGGCAAATTGCTGGCAGGTCAGGCTCATGGTGCCCTGCACTCCATGGAGGTGTGCTGCAGGCATACCAGGCTAACCTACTCAAAGACCTGGACCAGGGTGAGGGTCTATTCCCAGAGGCATCGAACAATCCATGGTGGCAATGGTAGCGACTTAGCCCGTCGGGCATTAAGGAGAGTGAAACGACCTTCCACCTTGATGCCCCAGTCCCGCCTTTCAGAGTTTTTGACACTGCCGTTGAGACAGTGGTGGAGAAGTTCAGAGAATGTATCTCCCATCAAATTCCGGTTCTGAAATTGGGTTGAAATTATCAACAACAAAAAAAAAGACAAAAAGACAAAAATGTCCATAAGGATGCACAAGGGTTAACTCCTATAATAATGTGTTTTCACATTATTTTGTCAACCCCTGAATATTACAGTACATTTGTGGTTCAGTAATTAATGCCTTATAGAGCAGAGTTATAGGCTACTTTTTAAATGAGTAAAGATAAATGCACATGTTTCTTTAACCACAGTTAACTTTTTATTTAGCAACTGAAGGAATGTTTCGAATGAATTTCGCAAAATCCAGAATATTAATATGCAAATTAATTTTCACAGTTCTTTTTTTGTTGTGGAGTTTTCCCCAAGAAGATCCTTCAGTCCGATGTTTATTTGTGTTTCATGTGTTCCAGATACAGTGATGGATATAATAAAGACAAAGTCAGTGAAGGAGGGAGAATCTGTGACTTTTGATAGTGAAATAAGAAAACCAAATGATGTGATGACGTGGTATTTTAACGGCATTCTCATCACTGAAATCACTGGAGATCAGAGTAAGATCTGTACAGATGTTCAGTGTAATGAGAGATTCAGAGACAGACTGAAAGTGAATCAGACTGGATCTCTGACCATCACACACACCAGAAACACAGACTCTGGAGAATATACACTACAGATGATCAGCAACAGATGCAGAATCACAAAGAGCTTTGATGTTGATTTTATTGGTTAGTAATTTATTCATTAATAGCTCACTGCTAGACCATCAGGCCAGTACTTCAGTCATTTTCAAGTACTATTATTTGTAGCAACATATTTTTGTGTTTGGGAAAAAAAGGTAGATATATTTATTTTTCATTAACCTAAAATACAGAACCGGTCAAAAGTTTGGAAACATATTTGGAAACATATTTTTTTTATGTTATTTTTTTTTATACTAGTTATTATCGATGTTGAAACCGTTGTGCTGCTTCATATTTTTTTAAAATAAATTTTTCTTATAAATCTTTACTATCACCTTTTATCAATTTAACATACTCGATGCATAAAAGTATTTATTACAAAAAAAAGATTTCTATTTTAAATAAACTGTTATAATTAAACAAATATATTAAGCAGCAAACCTGTTTCCAACATCGATATTAACTGAGTATCAAATCAGAATGATATTCAAATTATTTCAAAAGAATCATGTGACACTGAAGACTGAGTATTGAAGCTGAAAATTGAGCTTTGCATCACAGAAATAAATTAAATTATAGTAAGTATAAGTATAAAACCATTATTTTAAATTGTAATAATATTACTGTTATGAACTGCTCCGAGACACGAAGGTTGAGGATTCAAATGCAGTTTATTAAAGCAAATCAAAATCGTAATCAGAATCAAGGCAAAGGTCATACACAGGCAGGCAATCCAAACAAACAGACAAATCCAGAGGGTGAGGCAGCAACGGGAAAACCAGGACACGGGCAGAGATCAAGAACCAGGAACAAAGACAACAGGAAACGCTCAGAAATGCAGTGTACAAGACTTCACAGGGAATGAGGAGGTGAACCAGGCTTCCCTTTCGTAGTCACTCCGAGTTACGTCGGATGACGGAGAATGGGGGTTTCGCCAGAAAGCCTATCATCTTCGAGTATTAAAAAACGAGCCTATGGCAATGAAATGACATGGGTCTGCGGAATTTGCATAGCATATCTCCGCCCCACCGCGTGGGTATTTAAGGAGAGACACCGGCAAAAGCAGATCATGTTTTCGCTTTGGAGCCAAGAGCATCTCTTCACTCCACAAGCCAAATCCTGAGTTTTCTTCGGTGACTACATCTCTTCGAGACGAGCGAACTCTCCGGTGTTGGTGTGACGGCGGTATCCAGCGAGTTTCACATTGCCTGCGATCTGAGCAGTGGTCTGCCAGTCTGTGTGTTCTCCCTGGTCGCTTCAACATCCGCAGAGTTTTTCCTCTCACTAAAGAGCTGCACGCGGCACGTCTTTTTAAAGACGCGTCTTTCTAAAGACGGCAATGAAATGACATGGGTCTGCGGAATTTGCATAGCATATCTCCGCCCCACCGCGTGGGTATTTAAGGAGAGACACCGGCAAAAGCAGATCATGTTTTCGCTTCGGAGCCAAGAGCATCTCTTCACTCCACAAGCCAAATCCTGAGTTTTCTTCGGTGACTACATCTCTTCGAGACGAGCGAACTCTCCGGTGTTGGTGTGACGGCGGTATCCAGCGAGTTTCACATTGCCTGCGATCTGAGCAGTGGTCTGCCAGTCTGTGTGTTCTCCCTGGTCGCTTCAACATCCGCAGAGTTTTTCCTCTCACTAAAGAGCTGCACGCGGCACGTCTTTTTAAAGACGCGTCTTTCTAAAGACGATCTGCCCGTGTATTTCTGAGTGTGGTATTCTGATAGATTCAGCTGATGGGCGCAAGTGCTGTTTTGAGTGTTTGGGCTTTGATCGCGCTCAGACAGCGCTCGTGGGTGTGTCACGTTCTCTCAGTGGGAACGTGACCATCGCAATGTAACGGTCGAGACTCGATGAGCTCAATAGAGTGAGAGTCCCCTCATCCACCCCCCGATCTATTTTTCTCCACGTGAGATAATACTTCGGCTGGTGGCCAGGGTGACCTAAGACGGCAGGTCTGGAACTAAACCGACGAAAAATTCCTCGGTCCACACCCCGTCTTTCACATTGCAACCCCCGTGGTCCCGAGTGAGTTCGCCTGAGTTCGAGATGATGGCTCGTCTGTGTTGCCGTCCTCGGATGTGCTAGCATAACGAGTTTAATTCCAGAGTTCACAGCTATGCTTTCCCGGGCTGCCGCGAGTATCGGGCTTGTGTGGAACCTTCTGCCATGTCCCGAGCACTTAAGGCTGATGATTGGTTTTTGGGGGTGGCGAACCCAAATCCTTTCTACCCGGACGTGCATGAAGAGATCATGAGATCGTGGAAGTCTCCTTTGACTTTTCGTGACTGCTCAGTGGTCTCTTCCGCCTTCTCTGCCCTTGTAGAGGCCGCGGCCTAGGGTACACTGGGGTTCCCCCTGTGGAGTGTTCTGTGGCAACACTTATGTGTCCCCACAGCACCTCCACCTGGCGTGGCGACCCTAAGCACCCCTCCAATGCCTGTAGGTTCTTGTCTACTCCGGTGGCGGGGACCTATAGAGCTGCGGGGCAGGCTGCCACCTCACTGCGTGTTATTGCCATCCTTCTGGGTGTTCAGTGACATGCACGAGGGTAGGGCTGATTCAGGGCTCATCCTTGAGCTGCCTGCCGTCACCGACCTTGCTCTACGAGCGACGTAGGTGACCGCACGCTCCCTGAGTCAGGTGATGTCCACATAGGTGGTGAGACATCTCTGGCTAACCTGGTTGAGGTGCGCGAGGCTGAGTGAATACGTTTCCTCAACTCCCCCATATCCCAGGCTGGCCTCTTCGGCGGCACGGTCGAGGACTCTGCCCAACAGTTCTCGGCCGCCCAGAAGTGGACTGTGGCTATTTTGTCTGACCCCACGGCTCTGCTGCCTCCAGCCGCCGGCTCAGACGCCTCAGTCCGCTTGCTGCCGAATGCGCCCTCCTGCGACTTCCGCCCCCTCCCGCCCGGCCCCCAGCAGCACCGGGCCGCGCCGTGGAGGTGGTTGCAGGAAGGCGCCCCTGCCCGTACCAGCCCCGCTGTACGCCAGGCTTGCGGCGCTCCCGTTACGGGCAGCTCAGATGTGGGTTGCAGTTCTTCAGGGAGTGGTTGCAGGGCCACTCCTTCCCCCGGTGGAGGGCTGGGGGAGAATCTTTTCTAAACCAAAGAGCTGCATCCCATATCTGAGCCCTCAGAGGGCCGGACGACAGTGCGCGACGCTCCCGGGCCTCGCCGCTCTCGTCCCCCTCTGTCTCTGAGGGCGCGGATGACAGTGTGTGCCGTCTCCGGACCACACCACTCTCGTCCCCCTCTGTCGCCAGACCCCTGGCAGAGCAGACCCCCGTGGAATGCTGGTCCTTCCCTGGTCTCCTCTGTCAGGACGCAGAGCATGACCGCGCCCCCGCACCGGGCCGCTATGCCACCCACGCCTGGGCCGGTCACTCCACTTCGCTGCCCCTCCGGGGGGACGTCTGTGGTTCGGATGATTCCGCTGGTTCAGTTCTTGGGAGCTTGGTTAGAGCTTCCCAACCTGTCCCGCTGGGTCGCCCGAACTATCAGGCTCGGCTATGCGATCCAATTCGCACGGTCTCCTCCCCGCTTCAGGGGAGTCCGCTTTACTATGGTCGGTGGCAATGCCCCGATCATGAGAGCGGAGGTTGCCACCCTGCTGGCGAAGGGTGCAATCGAGACTGTCCCTCCAGCCGAAATGAGGTCATGGTTTTACAGCCCGTACTTCATTGTCCCCAAGAAGACCGGTGGGTTACGGCCAATCCTGGACTTGCGCGTCTTGAACCGCTCCCTTCACAGGCTGCCGTTCAAGATGCTCACAGCCAAACGTATTTTCGAATGCGTGCGGCCACAGGATTGGTTTGCAGCGATCGACCTGAAGGACGCCTACTTTCATGTCTCCATTTTACCTCAACACAGACCTTTCTTCGGTTTGCTTTCGAGGGGCAGGCATACCAGTACGCGGTTCTCCCATTCGGGCTGGCTCTGTCTCCTCGCGTCTTTACGAAGGTCGTCGAGGCAGCCCTTGTTCCCCTACGCGAACACGGGGTTCACATCCTGAATTATCTCGACGACTGGCTAATATTAGCTCACTCTCGAGATCAGGTTTGCGAACACAGAGACCTAGTGCTCCGGCACCTAGCCCGTCTGGGCCTTCGGGTCAACTGGGAGAAGAGCAAACTCTGCCCCGTGCAGAGGATCTCTTTTCTCGGTATGGAGATCGACTCGGTCGCTATGTCCGCGCAGCTTACGAGCGAGCGCGCACACTCACTGCTGACTTGTCTTCGACAGTTCGAGGGCAAGAGTGCGGTCTCACTGAAATTATTTCAGAGGCTCCTGGGGCATATGGCATCCGCAGCCATGGCAACGCCGCTCGGATTGCTTCATATGAGACCGCTTCAGCTGTGGCTTCGCGATCGAGTACCGAGGTGGGCATGGCATCATGGCACGCTCCGAGTTCCAGTGACTCCGACCTGCCGTCAGACCTTCACCCCGTGGCGGAACCTCAACTTTCTACGGGCCGGAGTTCCCCTAGAACGTGTTTCCAGGCATGTTGTTGTCTCCACAGATGCCTCTGCCACGGGCTGGGGCGCCATGCCTCTGCCGCGGGCTCCTGGACAGGACCCCAGCGCCTTCTGCATGTCAATTGCCTCGAGTTTCTGGCAGTACGCCTTGCCCTGCACCGTTTCCACACGTTGCTCAAGGGTCAACACGTACTAGTCCGTTCAGACAATACCGCGACAGTAGACTTTCTCAGAGACGGGGCACCCTTTGGCACCCTCGTCCCGATCTTTGGAACCTCCAAGTGTGGCTCCTGGACGGGATGAGGCAGGTCTGAGTACCCTGCCACCAGCGGTGGCGGCTACCATCATTTCCGCTAGAGCATCGTCCACGAGACATGCCTATGCATTGAAATGGAACCTATTCGTCAACTGGTGCTCTTCTCGCCGAGAAGACCCCAGGAGTTGCTCGATCAGTGTCGTGCTTTCCTTCCTGCAAGATGGGTTGGAGCGAAGGCTGTCTCCCTCCACCCTGAAGGTGTATGTGGCCGCTATCGCCGCTTATCACGAAGCAGTTGAAGGTAAGTCTCTTGGAAAGCACGACCTGATCATCAGGTTCCTAAGAGGAGCGAGGATACTGAATCCTCCTCGCCCTCCTCTCGTTCCCTCTTGGGACCTCTCAGTGGTGTTAAGTGCCCTGCAGAGGGCTCCCTTTGAGCCTCTGCAATCAGCTGAGCTTAAGTTCCTGTCAATGAAGACAGCGCTCCTGGTTGCATTGGCCTCCATCAAGAGGGTAGGGGACCTGCACGCATTCTCAGTTGACGAAGCGTGCCTGGAGTTCGGGCCGGGTCACTCTCACGTGATCCTGAGACCCCGGCCTGGTTATGTGCCCAAGGTTCCCACCACTCCCTTTCGGGACCAGGTGGTGAACCTGCAAGCGCTGCCCCTGGAGGAGGCAGACCCAGCCTTGGCACTGCTCTGTCCAGTACGCGCTCTCCGTGCTTACGTAGACAGGACGCAGTGTTTCAGGACCTCAGACCAGCTCTTTGTCTGTTATGGTGGGAAGCTGAAGGGAAAGGCTCTCTCCAAGCAAAGGTTGTCTCACTGGATAGTGGATGCCATCGCTTTGGCATACCAGCAGCAAGGTCGACCGTGCCCCCTTGGTGTGACCGCCCACTCCACCTGGAGTGTGGCGTCCTCTTGGGCTTTAGCGCATGGCGCCTCGCTAACAGACATCTGCAGAGCTGCAGGCTGGGCGACACCTAACACATTCGCCAGATTCTACAATCTCCGAGTGGAGCCAGTCTCCTCCCATGTACTGTCTTTTTCAAGCTAAGATGGGAACCGTTAGGTGTCTTCGCTTGCTCGCCATTCCACTCCACGGACTGGATACGTGCGATATATTCCTCGGGTGAGCTTCCTCTCTGAAGCCCTGAGTTCCTCCAGCACTGTTGACGCTGGTGCCAGTGTCTACTGCCTGTGCGTCGCCTAGGTGCCTCCGTGTGCATGGTTCCTCCTCTGAGTAACCCCCACATGTGTATTCCACTGTAAGCCTCTTTGAGCATGTGTCTTTCCCTCGGCAAGCCACCTTGCCACTCCTGGAGTTGAAAGTTGCCACCCCACGGGCTGGTCACTCCAGTGTTCCTCCATATGAAGCCCCCCTCGGGCCATATGTGTATTCTTAAGTCCTCCCTACGGGTAGGCGTGCTGCGGCATATCTCCCCTGAGATATGCTTCCCAGTGTACCTTGGTATTCCTGTGTTAAGTAGGACTCCTTCGTCCGTGCCTTTATCACGACAGGGAGGTCAGACTTCGCAGGGCACTGGAAGACAGCTGTGAAGGTGGCGTGATTACACGGGGACCCCCATTCTCCGTCATCCGACGTAACTCGGAGTGACTACGAAAGGGAACGTCTCGGTTACGGATTCGGTCTCCTTGCCACTTCCGCTGTACCGCTGGGTAGACACCTGAGTTCAGTCTCGGCTCCTCAGCGAAGACATGATCTGCTTTTGCCGGTGTCTCTCCTTAAATACCCACGCGGTGGGGCGGAGATACGCTATGCAAATTCCGCAGACCCATGTCATTTCATTGCCATAGGCTCGTTTTTTAATACTCGAAGATGATAGGTTTTCTGGCGAAACCCCCATTCTCCGTCATCCGACGTAACGTCTCCGTTCCCTACTCAGGGAACGAGGGTTACATCCGTAACCGAGACGTTATATGGGGTGAACTAAACAATATAATGAGACACAGGTGAATGTGATAATCAGGGATGATGAGTCCGGGCAGTGAATTATGGGAAATGTAGTTGTGAGTGAATAATGATAGTCTGATATGGAGTGCCCTCAGGTGGCTCTCAAGGGCACTCCAGCTGATGACCGTTACAATTACTGTTTTTCTGGTATTTCTGATTAAATAAATGCAGGCTTCATGAGCATAAAACATTTCTTTCAAAAACATTAAAAATAATAATGTTTCCAAACCTTTGATCAGTATCTCCATGATGACATGAATTTGTCATGAAATGTACGTTATGTAAGTTGTAGTAAATATACATTTTTCTAGTTATGCCCATTCCTTATTTAACTGATTAAAATCATACTAAGTTGTTTGTGATTTATATAAAATCATTTTGAAAATCCTTTCATCAAAAACAAAAGATTTGGTCATTTAAAACCTTGAATCACTGAACAATCACATGATGAATGAGTGTTTCTTTGGAGACCATTCATGTATCTATGTATTTTCAGATTGAGCGCTGTGCAGCATATTACTGATTGCACTCTATCACTTTATTTTTGTTTAATTATTATTTTTTTATTTGAAGTTATTTTTATTGTTTATCTTTTTTAAGTATTATCATTGTGCATAAAATGTGCAACATAAATAACTTGCCTTGCCTTGATCTTTAAAATTGTTGTTTATAGGTCAGAGTTATGATTGTATGCTTCTATTCATTGCAGGTTCACATGTAGAAACTCCAGTACTGAATCAACCTTCAGGTGTTACAATGAAAATCTGTGTTTTTATATGCGTGTCGCTACTGGCCGTGGTTGTGGCTGCAGGGATTTACTGTCTCAGGAAGTATGAACGAAAAAGACTGAAGTGTAAGTAGCCATTTCCTTTTCATAATCATTTTTCAAAGTTGCATGCTTTGCAGCATTTTTGTGTTAGTGACCGTCTGTGATGTAAACACATATTCCATACAAAGTTGGGAATTTAGCCTAACTTGTGCGTGGATTTGGAATATCGCATAACATTTGCGAATTATGCCGTTTCCATCCTACGAGTCGAGGAGAACAAAACCGTAACTTCCTTATAAACTAACGACAAATATCACTAAGAAGATGGAAGTTGGTGGAAGCCACTAAATGACAGACGAAGCACAACAAACACGATCATGTTATCTTGCATTCGGAAGCCAATACCTTTGAATTTGACTCAGGCATTTCAGAATGACCAAACCAAGATTTCAGATGCTGTGCAAAGAGATCGGCCCATTGGTTAGTTTAGTTATGCCATGCAATCGTGTAAAGTTTTTTTTATTTGTATTTTTTCATAAGCATTGTTGTTTCCATCCAGCGTTTTTTATGCGATATCCCAAAAAATGTGCATGAAATTATGTGGATGGAAATATACAGGTATAGGCTATATAGTGATGTACAAAGAAATGTTATACACAAGATGGCACTTATAAGTTATGGCACATATATGTTGTGTTGCTTTAGAATCATGGATTATAAATACATTTCTTTATTACATGGCTCTCTGAAATGCTTGATTCTGACCCATACAGCAATATACACCAACTTTGGGTCAAACTTGGACAAACCCAAATGTTGGGTTAAAAATTTAATTTCAAAATGTAACCCAACGGCTGGGTTTGTTGACCGAAAGTTGGGTTGAAAAAACACAGCATTTTTTAGAGTGTAGTGTTGGCCCAGATCCGGCCCACATCAGATACATGTGGAATCCATGTGTACCAGATGTGAGTCGGATCTGGGTCAATACTATGTTGCTCTCTGGGGATTGGCCAGTCACAACATTCCCAGGTCAGCTTATCTGTTAATGACCATCATCAGACCATCGCTGTGCAGACTGATTGGCATATGACATCAAAGATCAGCGAAAGTGATTCGAAAGCACGGTGGATCTCATGTGATTGGCATGTTGCCCCGCCCTCGTGCCAGTAAACACGTAATCAGAGAAAATATGTTATTTTGATAAAGGATTATGAGGCACATCAACAAATTTTAAACAAAACATGTTGTGCACAGATAAATAATTTAGAATAGGCTAGGGCTGTGTTGAAAAAATCGATTCACCAATTCTGAATCGATTTTCATATTAATTTCTAAAGATCGATCCGTAACTCAGAAAATCGATTTAATAATAGGCTTACATTTTCCCCGTGAACTTTAACTTGCCGCGACTGGAGATCCCTGTGTGCGCATTGAAAGGCTTTCACTCAGCGCGCACACTGTTACAACAACGGGCTTTGAGTGAGTCATTCGTTCATTCAACGAACACGTTCAAAAAAGCTGATTCATTAAAAGAGATGTAATGAAACAAGGTGTTAATTATTTTTTAACTTTGAGTTCCACTTTTCAAGGCTCAGCTGAGCAGCAATGCGTCGCATGGGTAACGCTGAAGCTGATGCTTCACTTATTAGAGACCAATATGGCATTGATTCAATGCGTGACTCGCTGATTTTATTTCCCCGCGGCTTCCTCGCGCTGTGGAATGCTGACCAGCGCTGCTCCTGACGCGCATTTATGGTAAATACCCGTGACGTGAACGTTAAAAGGATGATACGACAAATATTTCGCTTTCCTTTGACACGGCAACCTTTTTCACGAATACATATGACTTCAAAGACAGACGCAGGTAATCGCACGCGCTCTGCCGATCCCTCTCATTCACTCTCTGTGCGAAGCCTCTGTAGGCTACACATCACCACGATAAACAGTCTTGTTTGTTATCATTATGAACTTGTTTAACATTCAATACACATGCATGAAGTTCAAAACAAGCAGTTAAATGTCTATAATAGCCTAATAGTATCAATATGTTGCATAACTACAGTCCTGTAATTCACTGAAAAAAAAAAAAAAAAAAAAAAATTCGAAATCTCGAAAATCGGATCAGATCGGATCGGATCGAATCGAATAATGATAATCGATTCAAGATCTTGAGAATCGGAATCAAATCGATTCTTGAAATTTGAATCGAAACCCAGCTCTAGAATAGGCCTACTTTACATAAAAAATAGGATTTTATTATGTTTTTGTTTCATGTAGACATCCATCTATTCATGGAGACTGTAGTAATATTGTTGAAGTGGTAGTATTGTTGCTTAAAGGATTGTAATTGATTATAATATAATTCATGAAGCATCAGATAATGTGTTCATGTTCTCTTGTGGTGTGAGTGTGAATGTGATTCAGTGTAAAGGGTTTAAAGATAAATCAGAGAGCATCTTTGTAGCAAATGATCAGTGTTGATTTAGTAGTATTCTTCTAATTTATCTTTTTTCTTGGTACTGATGTTGCAGTTGACAGAGAATCTTGCAATCTTAAAACTGATACTGAAATACAGAGAGATGATCAAGAACATCTGGAGACAAAACCCGAGATCCACAGACTCTGGAAATCATCAGAAGCAACAGAAATGGAATAAACCTAATTGGAGTTATTCAGTGTTTCTGTCTCTGGTGAGTAAATCGTTCAGTGCAGATTCTTAGATCTACACTGTGTCTGTCACAAACAAGGTTGAGGATCCAAATGCAGCATATATTGAAGGGTAATCCAAAGAAGTAGTGTCAATACTAAGTTTATACAAGTAGCAGATTAATCATGTAACTGTAGATGTGTGTGTCAAAAAAGAACATCCTTATTTCTGTTAATCAGACAATGTCATAGTGTATATGATTTTAAATAGATGATTGTGTTGCATCTGTCTTCAGAATGTGTTATTGCTGATCTAATGTCTACATCCACACAGACGTCTTTGACTGTAGTGTCACTTCTTGTTTTAGTTTCTCTTAGCATAAAACACAGAATAAAAAGCAATAATTTGCAGTACGAAAAACATAAGAACTTTAAATCATCTGTTATTTCCAATAATCTTTAATAGCAATTATCTGAAAAAAAAAGAAACGCATTGAATTCAGAATATTTTTATATTGCATTAACTCCTCATATGTAATTTCTTTGAGTAGATTCTTCATTGTAATTTGTGCAACATTTCTTTTGGTGGAGTGTCTTTACTCATCACTGTACATGCAAAAACACTGGTCCTTTTCTGATGTCTGTTTTTTATTTTACTGTCTTGTGTGTTTTCTTTTAGGTTACACTACAAACAGAAAAAAAAACGAATTTCATCAGCTTCAGCATAAAGAGACATAAACAGTAAAAAACATATTTGACCATCGAGGGTCAAATCCAACATTTCTCCATTTACTGCAGAAGTTATCTGCAAGTTGACATTATTTTAGTGTATTTATTTTGCTTTTGGGTTTATTTATATGTTGATATATTTGACTTTTTTTACAGAAAGTGTAATAACATTTGATAATTTAGTTTTGTAAAGGACTTCTGTTACTTCACGATATTGGAAATATTTCTGTTTTAAACACATAAAGCCGAGCTAATGGATATCACACAAGCATTGTGCATGCTCTGCGCAAGAGTTACGCCGGTGAAGAAGTCTTTAATCTCAGTCAATTCACTACAGAAAGTGAAAGTAAAAACACTTAACTTCCGGTGGCCATTGCCGATCCACCCACTGATCTATATTAATGACTGGATTACTCATGACGTTATAGAAAGGGAAGCCACCACACCGCCATATTGGTATTCCCTCGCATTCTATTGAATTAATAGGAAGTCGTATGATTTTAACTGCAAGCAGACAATGTACGGGCAAACCACTAAATATGCCCACCCTGTCATGGACAAATTCAAAGTAGAGCAGATATATTTTCATTGCATAGTGGTTATAAAATATAGATTTTCAAAAGTATATTTAGTCCCTTTCTCAACAATATTTAAGTTAATCGGAAAAGTTTTTCCATTTTTGCTCATTTACCACAACTTGCAGAATTAACATCGTTGCACTTTCTTCTCTAAATAACATTTAAAAACAAAGATATCTTTTCAAACTTTCAAACAATACTTAAAGGCCCTCATATCTTTATAAAGAAATTACACAAAAGGTTTTACTAACTAAAATAATTCGCTTATTTTCATAAAGATAAACATGCCCGTGTGGACCTTGGCATGACAGGGTGGACAACAAGTTTAATAGGTGAAGGGAACAAGAACATCAGAGAAACAACAGGAACAACATGCAACTCATAATTAAATATTAAACAAAATCTGCTCGTTTAATTTGTTCTCTTTTCACTTTCACTTTTGATTTGCGGATTCATTCAGTAACGAAACTCCTCTGTGTGTGGCTTTTTAAAAAATACAGCCAGTACATTACAGACCATGCCTACACTTACACTACATTACTGATTTTGCTGACGTTACATAAGCACTCGTTTGTTTTACTTTCTATTTTGTTAATAAACCTTGGGTTAAATTCAACGACAGTGTGTGTCCCTTCCTTTGTTGCATCCTTTTGGAGTCACGGGTCATAACAGTAAGCATCAACTGCAAAGTGTCCAGTGTGTAAACAATATGATTTACACACTAAATTCAGCATGAACTCCAGCACAATCTGCATATTTTTAAACGTTAAACATTTCTAACATGGCAGTAGTTTTGTCACAATACCAGATTCCAGTAGTCCCTACAAGAAGACATAATATGACTGATTGTGTTTACACAAATATCTTGCCAAGATGCGCACTCTCTTCAATGGACATGTGCATAAATATGCAAAAGAGCATTTTAAGGCAGCTGCCAATCAAATAACACACAAGTATTGAATTGAGTCTTAGTTCAAACACTGAAGATGTTATTACTGGTATTGGTACCGTTATTGGAAGAGACTGGTATTGTTTTGTAGCTAATGTATTATTATTATTATTTTCATTTACCACCATTTGTTATTTTGGCGTTAATATTTCTGGAGATGTTTGTCAGGTGAAATTTTACAACATACAAATGTGTGATGAGTTGATAAAACAATGACCAATATTTTACTTTTTTCATTTAGTGTTTTTATATAGCCTCATGTATTTTGTTCTATTATCATCTGTGAACAAACATCTGTGATATGTATAGGGGTGAACAGTATCTTTAAAAGTATATACTCTCCTCAACCAGGCTTAGATGATGTTGAAATCATAATAGCAGATAATTGAAATGCCTTTAAGTATTTTTCTACATAGAAAGAGTGTTTTCCACTCATTGTAGGAATAAAAGTATCTTTTAGATTTCATTTAAAATATCTTCATCTGTGTTCTAAAGATGAACAAACGTGTTGTGGGCTTGGAACAAAATGAGGTTGAGTAGATTATATCGTTTTCATTTTTGATTTAACTATCCCCTTACCATAAATCGCTGCGGAGCAGGATGGGTTTAGAGAGAAAATTCCCGTTTGATAGTAAAAACACCCATGTTGCATAACCTGCTGTCTGGACATTGTATCTGGGTATGTCAGCGAAACAAGCACAGACACAACTAGTCATAAACAACTTTCGGTTTGCATTTATACAGAAGAACACAATTTTACTTGTGCATTTACACGGACAAAAGCTTTTATTTCCACAGAATCAGGGATGTGTGACTACTCTAAAATGAGGGTCTTTATTTTGCTCTTAGTGTGTGTGTTAGTGGCTGGTAAGTGCCTTTATTTGTTGCAATGTCTTTTTCGAATGATAATGAAACAAAAAGTGTGTCGTGTGAACATGACCCTGTTTGAATTTATTCAGGTTTAATCATTTTTAGCTATTGCTGTTTCAAATATGGGTTTAGGACAAAACTGTTATTTTATGAGGTTTCTGTAACACATTTACATGTAAAAATGTGTCCTGGTCATTTATTCTGAATCACTATTAATTTTTAAGAGGAATAGTCAAAATAATTTGACTATCGGTTAAATCAGTCTTAAACTTTCAATTGCTGATAAATCGGATTCTGTAAATGCAGTCGAAATAAAAAGGCATTGATACTGTACAATTAAAAAGAAATGAATACAAAACATGAATTAATATGGTGGAAAATAGCAATAAACTTATTTACTGGGTTCTAGGGGTTGATAAAACAAGCAATGATCTCTGTGTGGGAAGGGGATTTGTATGAAGAGGTGTGTGTGAGTTATGTGTAAGAGCATAAATGTGTAAATAAATTATGTTCTTCTGCTGTTTGATTTCATGTACATTATGAATATGGTCTTTATCTCATTTCCTGAAGGTGATTTGGTTGCAAGACATAATCAATACATATAAAGTACATGACAATGCATTAATAATCTTATATAATTTCTTTCCAAATAATATTACATTTAAGAGCTCTACACATGATTAAAACTGTCCAGGCTGATTTGTTCTAATCCTGTATATTCTAAAACGAATGCAAGAGCAGAGTTGAAACTCGTAATGCTTCCCTTCCCTTAAAACAAAGCAAACAATATTTTCACAGCACTTTCCTTTACTAAAAATTGTGTTCAGCTTGAAATTAACTTCGTGTCTTCTTCAGGTGTTTCTGGTGTTAGTAAACATGAAGTGATTCTGACAAAGGGAGATTCAGTCACTCTACACACTGGTGTTACAACAGACCAACAAGAAGAGATTAGATGGTATTTTAAAAACACTCTCATCGCTGAAATCACTGGAGATCTCAGTTTTATCTGTACAGATGTTCAGTGTAATGAAGGCACTGAGAGATTCAGAGACAGACTGAAGCTGGATCATCAGACTGGATCTCTGACCATCACAGACATCACAAACACAGACTCTGGAGTTTATCATATACAGTTTAACAGCACCAGCGACAGTGAAAAGATCTTCAAGGTTATTGTCCGGGGTAAGTTGAGTGGAAGGCAGGTTATATATGTTTAAATCACATAATAATTTTTATTTTAATAGTAATGTTCAGACATTCCTGTAGTAGGCTACATTTTATATAATTTTGTGATCACAAGAAGCTATTTTATATTATTTAAAAAAATAATATTCTAATATGGTCGTTTATATTCTCATTTTAGTAGTGCATTAAATTGTATGTTGCATGTGTAAAATGAGTAGCCTACCGTGTGGGTCAAAAATGACTCCTTCCAGCATCCGTTGGTTTGCGTTTCAGGTTTTTCTGCTGCAAAACAAAAGAACATCGCGGAGGGAGGATCTGTCACTTTAGACGCTGGTATACTAATGCAAAAAAATTACATAGTAACTTGGTATTTCAATGACAATCTCATCGCTCTGGTCACTGAAGATCTCAGATATAGCTGTACAGATGTTAAGTGTAAAGATAGTAATGAGAGATTCAGAGACAGACTGAAGCTGAGATATCGGTATTCATGGTCTCTGATCATCAGAGACATCAGTTCAACAGACTCTGGACTTTATACAATAAAGATCAACAAGAGCAAGAGTTTCAGCATCACGAGGAGCATCCCTGTGACTGTTACTGGTGAGTGTCATTCACTTGCTGTTTTAGAAAACACTGTTGTTAAATCGACCCAATACATTTTTTTTTTTTTTTTTTTGTAAAACTTTTTGTGAAGTAACTATATCGCATGCATGTCAAAGTGACAATTTTCACCGC